TGACCTGGGGAGCGTGTGCGAGGCCGGGCAGGGGTGAGGATGTGTAGTCAAGGCAGCCAGGGAGCTCTCCCAGACACGCACTTGTGTGATTAAACCAAGTCACCACCGGCAGGAGCAGACAGAACTGACTGGCCTTGTTCCAGTGCAAAAGGCCAGGGAGGCGAAGGCTGGACCATTCTGGCCTCAAATAATCAAATGCTTTTTTCCTCCAAGGGTGAGAGCTGCCTGGTGTCAACTCCTGCCTCCAGGCCCTGCCTCAGTGTGAAACATGGCCTTGGGGCACAGGGGTTGCAAAAGCATTTGTGTTAGGGTAAGAGAAGTGCTCGGAAGGCAGCTTCACTAGTCTGTTCTCCTCTCCCAGGCCTGAGCCCCTGGCCTGTGTGCAGCTCTGTGCAGGGCGCCCTGGGGGGGGGGGGGGGCAGTGAAGGAACAGCCCCTGTAGGGGCAGGGCCTCTGCCCAAGGAACTGCTAAAATCTGCACACTGTACCTTAAAACTTAGGAGCATTTTCATTCTACACTGTAATGTAACTGCACCTGTCTTATGGTTTTCAAAAGCGGAAGTGACTCCTCGCTATGGAGGAGACCAGCGCTCCCAGTCAACGCACCAGGCTCTTCCGGTGGCCCTGCTTGGCCTCTCTCAGCCCTGCACCCGCTGAGGAACACGCCTAGCTGCAGAAGCTCTACCTGACGATGAAACCCAGCACAGCCGGGGGAGCACGCGCATGTGGCCTGCCTCGTCCCAGAGAGAAGGCTGTATTCCCCACAGTTAACATTGACGGGCCCTTCATCCATGCCGTGAGCATTCCCCCTGCTTTCCCCACATCTGATAATCCTGACATTAAGGGAAGTGCTACTGTGCCCCTTTGGCAGATGAGGAAACGGAGGCCCAGGGAGGGCAAATGGCTTCCCCGGGGAGCCGTGTTGAGAACCAGCTGGAGGCAGGAAGCCTGGGGTTCAGAGCCCACTGACGCGCGAGCTCTCACAGCGCCCACCGGCTCCTCGAGGAGGAAGGCTGCACGAATGTCACTCGCGCCACCCATCTGATGCGTGCCATCCACGTGGATGCTGTGCTAGATGCTGTGGCGCGGGGACCAGACGCTGTCCTTGGCTGCAAGACACGAGCTCCGAGTGCGGTGACCGGGGGAGCCCGAGAGTAAATGCCACACAAGAGGAAAGGAGGCAGGACCTGGAAGGGCCGGGTGGAAGCGGGGCTGAGCGGGAATCCCAGGGTCAAGAGGCCCAGAAGCCGGCAGCAGCAGGAAGCAGTTTCAGCCCAGAGATTCTCAACATGTGGTGCCTGGACCAGCAGCTCAGCGTCACCTGGAACTCGTCAGAAGTGCAGGCTGTGAACCTGAAACCCAAGTCCTCCAGGTGATTCTGATGCATGCTCCAGCCTCAGAGCCTCTGCTTCAGGAAAAATGAGATAAAGAGCACGGATGGAGGGTGACACTGGGCAGGTCTGGAAAGCGGGGAGGAGGGGGAGGGAAGTCAGCGAGGTGGGAAGCACCCAGAGTGTCAGGCCTGACTGGGGGAAACTCCGAGTCTGCAGAGATCTGCTCCTTCAGGCTGTCTCATCATTGCTCCATTTCATGTTTTATATCTTAACTTGGATGTCAGTGACATAGAGCTCAACCTATCTGCAATAAATCACAAATTACATTTTATAAATACCATTTACCAAAAGGCCACAAGAAGTTGTTTTACTTTATTCATTATTTTAACCTACTTTTCCCATGTGTGTCACTGATTTTTGAATTTTTAATATTTTATCTAGAATCCGTGTTAGGCTATACCCGAGCCCAGCAATTCTGTGTTGCTCTGTTTCTCTAAAGATCAGCTGTTTTTCAAATAAGAAGTTGGTAATGACATGTTAATAGATAAATCGACAAAATAACTTACTTAACTGTATCCGTAAGTTTATTCTTTCAGCAGTCATATGACATCCAACATCTAGATTCTTTCAGAATCCCTCAGAGTTATTTCCATTTAAAAGCAGAGAAAATGGAGGCACAGGGTGATTAAGTGATTTGTCCGTGGTCCCCCTACTGGGAAGGGGTCAAATTGGGATGAGAAGCCAGCTATTCTGACGGAAGCTTATGTCTGTAAAATCACACATGGGTACTGTGCTAAAGGACTCTTATGTCCCACAGTCTAAGGGCCTTTTCTCTGGACTTGAAGCCCTGCCTGTTTCCCGGCATTCATGCTGGGAGGGGTGTTTGTGCAGAGGGCCCCTTGGTGAGCTGCTACATTATGCAAACTTGATTATCCTGTCCGACGTTATTGATGTTGGCAGCCATTGTGAAATGAAGTTTGGGAGATGGAGTGTGGAGGACAGCACTTGTAATTTTTAATAACCATCCTCTTTTACTTCTTATGGGAAGGTTGTGGGTGCTTTAATGGAATCCGTCTGTCATGATGAAGAAGTGGACACAGTGTCTTGGCACACTCCAGGCAAGCTCGGGGCTTCAGTCTGCTCATTTCTGGTGAACAAGTTCCTCAGGAACCTCAGATATTCTCCACCGTTAAGGCACACTGGGAACAACTGAGGGGCTAGTGAGATTGTGACCCCTTGATGTTTAGTCATCTCTGGAACTGGTGCTCTCCATAGGCTTGGTACCCAGCAGGTGTTGGCACAGTGATGGCTGATTCCAAACTTAAAGAACCTTTCCACCTAGAGTTTCAACAGCTCAGTTATCCACTCCTTCAAGTTCAAAATCTCCTTACCTGACTGCCTTGTCAGGTTCTTCCTTTGCATGTCGTACGGCCAGGACAGGACAGATAATGTCGCCTTCAAGGATGTTTCATGTGGAGCCTGATGAACGGCATCACCATCTGCCCAGTCATCCAAGCAGGATGACACCCTGGCATCACTTCTGATTTCCAGTCTCCTCCCCACCAGGCACCTACTCATTCATCAAGCACTGCCTCTCCTATTCCCTCACTGTCACCTGAATCCTCACACTTCTCTCCGTCTCCACCACCAACTCTGGACCATGCCAGCTGCAAACCTAATTGCTTTCCCTGTCAATCCATATTCCACATAGTAGCCAGAGTGACATGTAGTCAACTCCTACTTAAAGCCTCCCATGGCCCCTCGGGTCAAAGTTCAAGGTCTTCACATGACCTAAGGCCCTGCGAGCTGTGGTTCTCACCAACTTCTTCACCCCCATCTCCCACCCTGCTCCCCGCCTCCCAAATCCACAGTCTCCAACGTGCCGCACCTCCTTGAAGCCAGCCTTCACACATGCTGTTCCCTCTGCCCAGAGCATCCTTCCCCTGCTCCTTGTCTGGCCAACTCTTACTCATCTGCCAGGTCTCAACCTGACAATCTTCAAGCTGAAGCCTGTCTTCAGTGAGGACTTCCCTGAGTGACAGGAAAGGCACACACTTGTAAAGCCCTTGCTCTCTCCCCGGGACCCACCAGAGCACTTTATATACACTGACTTGTTTAATCCTTGCAGCAACCCTATGGCATAGCTAAAACATATTGTCTGCAGCTTGCAGATGGGGAAACTGAGGCACCAAGAGGTAGACGAACTTGCCAAGGCCACATGTTTAATAGAAAAGCCAGGATTCAAATGCATACATCTTGGCTCCCCAGCCTGTGCACCAATCTCCACACCACAGGTCTCTCAGCTCTGACTGCAGGCAATGGCTGGTGATGCACTCACTTGTACCCCACGCCCTGGAATTCATTTCTGCTGCTGCTGCTGCTTACCCAGTGATAGTCTCCCCACCACATCTAAAGCATCACATGGGAAGGACTTATCTTCTTGTTCGCTGGTGCATTCCCATTGCTCAGGAACACATTCTTGACTCAATGAAGAGATGATTACGAATCCTCCCTCAGCACGTTTTCCTGTTGGAGCCATTGTTGTTCCCCCAAAGCATTCCAGGTTCACTCTGGGGCAGAAGCAGGGGCTGTTTGTGAACATTCTTGGCTGATCAAAGGTGTCCAAACAGGGAGGGGAATTGCCCACCAGGGGCTTGGATGAGGTCCCTGTGTCATAGAATAATTTGTCTTTTGGTTGGTATCTCTTCTCTCCCAGCCCAGGACGCGTCCAAGCTTTCATTTGGGAGCTCTAAGCCTCTCCTCTCTAGAAAAAGGAAGTTTTAGTGACTTCTCTTGCCAAAAGCAAAAACTGCTAGGAACCTGGAAGGAGCATGGTGCCCTGATTCCTGTGGGGAGAGGTGAACTGGAGACTCAACAAAGGGGAAGCAGACATCCCCTCCTCTTTGGCCAGGGTCTGTGTGGAGACTCGGCTGCAACAAACAGATGGAGATTGCTGCAGAAGGCTGGAAAGGGGGCTGGCCTGGAGAGCTGCCTGGAGGCTCCTGTGGGTCCTTTTGCACTGGACTGGACAATGGTCAGGGGCAGCCGAGCGCGCTCCCTGGAGCTCAGTGACAGCCCAGGCTTGGGGACCACTGGTATCTGGGAGCTGAAGAAGCCCCTGGGGCTGAGGGCCTGCCACGGGGTCTCCCCCACTGGGGCCTGGTACCTGTGAGCTCAGGTCCTTAATGCCACCCCAGGGTGGGGGAAGCGATGTACCTGAAGCTGAACGTGCTGTCCCTGGGCCACGTGGGGATTACTGGCGACTAAACTGGACTCAAAGATGTGGCGTGTATTTCTCCCCAGTGTCGTCGGCACACCCGAAGCCCGGACAGGGGCCTGGGGACCTTGTCTTAGGTGCTGAGCACACAAAGCAGACTGGATGGGGGGAGGGGGGCGTGGGCAGAGCCTCGGGCGCGAGTGGCATCATCCCTGCAGGATGAGCGATGGTGACGGGCTGCCTTCGGTGCTGGTGCAGCTCCGATGACCTTGAGCAGGAAGATGTGGCGATGCAGCTCTGAGCTCTCTGCTGCTGCTCTGTGGGCTCTCCCCACCCACCTCCTGCACCCAGGGCCTTGTAAAGTCTGGTTTCCGGGGCTTGGGAAATTTGCTCTGCCCGGTGCCTCTGGATGTCTGTGTCTGGGGCTCAGGCCGGAAGTCCCTCTTCTAGTGGGGCAGTCAAGCCTCTTCTGGGGCAGGGAGGGCCTTGATGGTGAAGAAAGTCCTGGAAGCCCCTTCGGGAGGGCCCGCCGGTTCTTCAGAGTGTCGTCAGGTTCATCATGTTTATTCAGCTACGCTCGCTTTTCCTTCTGCCTGTGACTCCCCCTCTGTCACAGGGGGACGCCTCCACAGTGGGTCCTCGAAGGGAACCCATCCTCAGGGACACCCGAGGGCCCAGCCTGCCAGGTGAGAGCGGGGCGGGAAGGAACAGTGGCTGGTGGGTGAGACAGGCGAGGGAGCTTGACAGGAGAGTTTTATTCAATAATTAATAAGCAGTGGGCCAAGCAGATGTGACGTTAGGAAAATTTAATTAGAACATGCAACTTATATATGTAGTTGGATGCCTGGGGGTAATAATAACGCATTTTCACAATACCTCTCTAACCAAAAGGAAATAAAAGTCATAAAATGGGACCAGTGGTGAACAGCTGCAGATGCTGGGCTGTCCTTTCTGCTGTCCTGCAGGTCACTTCTGTGACCCAGCCTGTGGTGCATGGCACGGTGCCTAGTAGGTGTTTGTGATATTTGCTGTTACAGAGTTTTCTGATGAGATTAAATAAGTTAGGGCTTTCAGGACTTCGCTGGATGGTTGCACATTTAATCCCAGAATGAGTCTAATCAGATTGAAAGTGGCTCTTCTTTATTTGTAGCTTCTTCTTTGTTGAAGCACCGAGCTAAGAGCTCATGATAATTATCTCGGGTGGTCCTCCAACAGCATGGCAGGTATTCTCCTACGTTTTACAGCCCAGGAACTTAAGGCCCCAATTCCTCTCCAGTCTTGGCCAAGTTCACCTAATAGGAAGTGATGGAGCTCAGACTTGAACCAGGTCTTTGGGCTCCAGAGCCCCTGCTCTGAACTGCTAAGTAAGTACCTTCTCCAGAGGCGTCTCCGTGTGGCGACCCTCAGCCCTGCATGCTTGGCTGCTGGGATTAGGAAGGCATAAGGCATGAGGGATGCAGACAGCTGAGGTTTTCATAAAGGGCAAAAGCTGGATTTCACTGCTTTTCCTGCGTGAGGCTGCCTGGTGAGCAGGGGCTCCAGGGAGCAAGGTGAGGCCTTCAGCCCTGTCTGGGGAGGTGGGCGCCGGGAGGCTGTGGGGTGTTGGGTCAGACAGTCGAGGCCCAGATCCTAGCTCTGTGCCCTCGGGCTGTGGGATTTGGAATTTGGGACTGTGGTCATCTCCACGAGGTTGATTCCTGAGAGGGTGGGGTGAGATTAACGACGATGTGTTGCCCATCATGCCCCCATTCATTCCATTTCCTGCAGCAGCCGGAATCCCACTCTCTAAACTACCTCTCTGCCCTGAGGCGCCAATGGCCTCCCACATCACAGGGTGAAACTCACATCCCTGCCTGGCCAGAGGCCGACGTGCTCTCCCTCCTGCCTCTCCCTCCAGCCTCCTTCTCACTCACCCCTGCCGCCCTGCGTGCCTGCCTCAGGACCTTGGCATGTGGTGTTCCCTCTGTCTGCCAACCCCCCATCCCCCATAGCCTCATGGTTGTTTTTTTATTTTCCTGCGGTCTCAGGTCAAATGCCACCTCATCAGAGAGCATGTCCCCGGCACCCCCAACTAAGGGAATACCCCCCACCCTGTCCCTGGCACGCCTGGCCCCTTCAATGCGCATTACAGCTCTGCATAGCACTTTCTGCCATCGGGTTCACTTGCCCACAGGGAGGCCTGGACCTCACTGCGGCCCCTGTAGTGTCCCTGTGCCTAGAACTAGCTCATAACAGGCATGGCACGAGTGAGTGAGAGAATGAAAAGTGCTATGTGGTGAGAGCTGAATCAACATTAGTGGTTCCTGATAGTTTGTTTCTTATTTTTTAAAATTTTTCATTATCAATTGGTTTATAGTTACTGCACGGAATTTTGCTGTTAATGAAGTCATAAAGAATTCTGAAACTGTCTATAAAACCAGTGTGTGTTTATAACTTTTCTAATGTTAAAAGACTACTTTTATGGAAAATTTAGAAATCACATTATTGTATAAGTAAAATAAAAATCACCTGTAATGTTTTTTAACATTTTCATTCCATCTCATTTAAGGTTGGGTAAATGTTTACAATTTTGGCTTTTCATTTTCTGCTTTTTTAAAAAAATTATGGTGAAATGCACATAACATAAAATTTGCCATTTTAACCATTTTTAAGCATACAGTTCTGTGGCAGTAAGTACATCCACATTGTTGTGCAAGAGTTATTTTTTTAAACCCACACAATCCTCTCACGTTTTCATCTCTGTTGGAACAGAGAACAGTTTCAGTGGGAGGAAAGCACGTTTCCCTGACTCACGTGTGCGGCGCTGGGTTAGAAGGAGGCCTGGCAGGTGGTCCTTCTTGAGGCTCTGATGGGGAGGCCGCCTCCCTTTCATGTCTCCAGCTTCCAGGGGCCCAGCCTCCAGCTTGCTGTCATTTGGTCTCTTGCCTGCCCTCCCACGGTGCCTTCCCAGACAGCAGCTGTCCCCACCAAGGCCGTGATAACTGAAGGCCTAGCGTGGAGGTCTGCTTTGGCTGCTGGAACGTGTCTGGGTAAGTGTGGTTTGGCGACACCCCCCCCACCCCCCCACGGATCATTGGGGCAGCTCCTCGGAGGGGCAGGCCCCTGCCCACCCACTCGGGCCGTGGGGTGGAGGGTGCAGGGCAGCAGAGAGCCCTTCACCAGACCCAGGCTCACAGCATCCCCGCAGGTCACTTTCGTCTCTCCTCCGTTCTTGCTTCAGATTTCATGGAAAAGCAAAAGAAAGACTTCAGATGTTAGGAGATGCCACAGATAAATAATTTCACACTGTGGCAGATGCATGGGAGGGACAGGCAGCGTCTGACTCTCCCGGCAGGTCAGGGAGGGCCTCTCTGAGGAGGTGGCATTTCAACTGGCCCGTGGGGACCAGAAGGAGCACACAGTGGGGGCGACAGTGGGTGCCAGGCCCTGGGAGGCACACTCGCGAATTCGGGACTGGAGCGAGCAGGCGGCCTGTGGGAGTAGAGAGGAAGTACTCGGAAAATGGGGCGCCACAGGCCTGGCCACCGGCAGGAGAACCCCACTCTGGAGTATGAGAACCACACATCACGTGGCCAGAGGAGGTGCAGCTGGGAGCAGGATGGACCTAAAGCTGACTGCAGGGTGTCGTGTTGGGGTCACACAGCAGAAGCAGAGGAGGGCAGGGCCTTGGGCATGCCCACTCCCCGGGCCAGGCAGCAGGTGCGGTGGCCTGCCTCCGGCGGTGATTGTGTGGAGGGACAGGTGAGCGTGTGGTGCAGTCACCCCACTCAGGAGCCCCTCAGCCTCCCCCGTTCTGCAGGAACGTGGGCAACCGGCAACCCTCAGCTAGCGGGGCAAACAGCCGCGGCCAGGAGTCCAGCCAGCCTAGTCGTGGAGACTGTGCCACTGAGGGCTCCTGCAGGTTTGCAGTTCTGGGAGCCGGGCTGTGGCTGTTTTCTCTCCTCTCTGTGTCATCCAGGGCCCAAGGGAGGCCCTGGCCAAGGTGGAGAGGAGGCCAGGGCTGTGCGAGTGCGTGTGTGTGTGCACGCACATGTGTAACAGAATGGCTACTGCAGCTCCCTCTCCAGGTCTGGCTACCCCAGCGGCTTGAATCAGTCTGTACACACCGGCCAACACCACTTGCTCAGTGAAGTGTTGAGGCTGCTCCTTGATACAAATTCTATTCGTTTCTCAGTTATTTTCCTAAAATGCCACTGTTGCCACTCCCTCTGCTTCATTAATTCTTCTTTTTCTGTCTGGATCCACAGCGGGGCCTCCACTCTCACCTGCTGGTGCCATATTTATTTCTAGCTCTCTCAAGATTCTTCTGAGATTTTGTCCCAAAGGCCTGCCAGGTGGCCACTTGGGAAATATTCCTGGAAGGCTTAGGATCCCGGCTCGCTGCCTGGTGCATGCACCCAGGCTTCCACAGTTAGCTGGCTTCAGAGCTCAGTGTCAGGGAAACACTGCCTGTCTGATGAGGACTAGGGTGGGTCCGAGTCCTGTTTGTAGGGTGTTTGTCATACACAAAATCAACTACATCTTTGCGGTCTTAACCAGAATGGAATTTCCCAGAAATACTGGGCTGTCTCTGTGCCTGAGGCCCTTGCAGTTATGAACAGATGGTTTAAGGGAACCAAGGGGTCCCCAGGTTTCCCGAGCCTCCCCTGCTGTGAAGTGGCCTGTGGGGTGGGGCTTCCTCTTCTGCACTTGCCAGTGATGGAAACTGTCGTAGCCACCCTGACGTGGCCTCGAGGGGACGGCCTCCTGCCGCCCCTGCCTGGCCATGAAGCTACGGGCTGTTCCCGTGACAGGCATCTCCGCACCAGCAGCGGAGTGATATTTTTGGTGCATTGTGCGGTTGCACCCACAAGATATTTCACTGATTCTGAAAACCTCTTTACTATCATTCTCTCAATTCTCTCCGGCAACGAGATCGGGGGGAAGACAAGGAACCCTAGTGGAGACACGCACAAAGTCACAGCGAGGGACGACAGGGCTGACCGTGTGCTTTGGGGGTGGGTTCAAGCCACTTCCCTCCCAAGTGGCACTTTAGAAATGTGTTTCCCCAGAAAACTCTTTGTTCTAGACAAATATTGCCAATTTCACTGATACTGGCTGTTGACTGGGATGATTTACTGTGGATCTCCTTAACTGCATTTGGGGCACGAGCTTTGAAAGTGGTCCACTACCTTCTGACGCTGAGGAGGAGCCATGCCCTGCCCCCTGCCTCCATTCTCCTAGGCTGGGCCCCCGTTTGCTTTGGGGACCCACCCACCCACAACTCCGCCGGGGTGGCCATTTGCCGCCCGCCCTTACATCCACTCCTTCTCCTCCCTGCTCTTCCCTGCATCACGAGGAACTACATTTCCCAGCCAGCTGACGTCAGCTAATGGGGCACACAGCTGGAAGAGAGGAAGGAGGGAGGAAGAGAACTAACCGAGCTTCCCTGCTCTCTCGCAGCCTTGGAAGGGGTCTCAGCACTGGCCCTAGCTCCCACTGGGCAGCCACCCTGCCTTGTTCCCAGCTCCAGCCATGATTCAACCTCAGCAGGATGGCCTTGGCATCTGTGTTCTGGCAATGCCGCCTCCTCCTTCCATTTCTTCTTTGTCCTCGGGGTTATTTCACCAGTGATGGAAGAGCAGAGAAGCCAATGGGATCGGGAGGCAACTCAGAGATGAGAAACACAGGAAGCCACTCCCACCTC